TCCTGCAAATTCAAGGGAGAAAGGGATGGGGATGTCTCTTGAAATTAAGGCACTTTCTAGAAATTACATGTGCCATTTCCCCCTAAATCCTGATGGGCAGATGTTAGTCACATGGTCACACTTAGCTGCAAAGGAAACAGGGAATGTATTTGTCCATGTTGGCAACTAAGAATGGGGATTCTGTTACTATGGAAAGAAGTATATTTGGGGTCAATTCAAGGCCTCTACTATGATAAGCTATTTAGTATTTTAATGAACGAGGCATGTTCTAGTCCAGATGAATATCCCTTGATAGGTCCTCAGTATCCCTTGAGGCCCTCACAAGTCCATGTGGGGACTTCCAAACAGAGCTGTCTTCCTTTCTAGTATGGTTCACTGAGGGGCTTTCCTTCTTTGGCGTTCTCCTCTGAGAATCCTGAGGGCACTGGGCGGGTGTGTGTGTGTGTGTGTTCCTTCCCTTCTGCTACTAGGATGAGAGCAGAGGTGGTGATGTGTTTGTGGCCAGCCATGGAGGAACCTAGAATATGGTCTCCACCGGGATTAAATTGGAGGTCAGACTGGAAAAGCAGTCTTCTGCTTTGGTGGATGAACCTGGGAACCTAGGGTTCCTAAGGAAAATGCAATTAAAATTCCAAATCCTTCATTTACAAACAAGCCCTGGAGTCTTGGGTTGGTTGTGTCCTTTTCTCAAAGACATTTCCATGGCAACTCCTGCTCTCTAGCCTGTCCTCCCTCTCCCTTTTCTCTTTTCTTCTCTTTTGGGGCCAAAGTATCAGGCAGTACGAGAAAAGGTCCTGACATAGGAAAGTTTTCAGAGTGTCCCTGGGGATAGGAGACCAAGAGCTGTGTGAGAGCCCTACCTACCCAGACTGCCTTCACCACCTGTGGGCCACAGGAGACGGGCCCATCTGCCCTTGGTCCAGGAGATGGGCTACAGAATTCCACCTGGGAGAGCCCCAGGGGTAGCCCAGGGCCCACTCTGAGGGGTGGCCAGGCTGTCCAGCCTTGGGGTGCTCTACCTACTCTCTGGGATTCTGGTACTACAGAGTTGTGGAGGAGGGGGGGCCCGGGGCAGGGCTTCATTCCTACAGAAGGCAATTTTCCTTTTGTTCTCCAAGTGGCCTTCTATAAAACATTGCATTTCAAGGGAGTTCTCTGCAACCAGGAAAATTGTCAGCCTCCAGTTAACCTCTCAGTGACCAGCGGCTGGACCAGGTGGGATATGGGCTGGGAAGAGGAGGGTGATCTGCCCCAGGTCTCTCCACTGTTTGGCAACAGAGCTTGGGTGAGCATGAATACATATTTCTGATGCACTTCTGCACTCCATCACTTTTGGTCCAGTCAATGCAGGATCTAGCTTTGTGAAGTCCTTGGGGTAACTGGGGTGCTCCAAACTGGGATGGGAATATGAAGAGAAAAGATAAGGCGTCAACCTAGTTCTCCAAAGTGAAATTTTAACTCAGTTTCTGTAGACTTTCTCTTCTGAAAATGAAGAAAAACCAACATAAATTAGTTATATTTATGATGATATATAAATCATCACCTGTGTATGTACATGCATATGTAGGTTGTGTATATTCATATTAATGTGTGCCTGGGAATTGTAGCAACATGATACATACCCGAAAAGAGGCAGAGAGTGTGCACAGTGACAAGCAAGGCTTCCTCTTCTGTGCCTGGACATCCAGTCATCCTCCACAGTTTCTTCTGGACCTTTCCAAAGACGGTCGTGGTCATCCTATTCTTGTCCTTTTCATCCACATTAACGTTGTTCCCAGTGTTGTCGGTAAAGACACAGACTACGGAAGGAATGAAGCAAGCTGACTGCCACAGATGAGCCTGCCCCCCTCAGGTGCTAAGGTACCTGGGCTGCCCCTGCCCCAGGTCCTAGCACAGATGCTGGAGGCCTTAGTTACTTCTGTCTTTGATGTCTGTGTGTTTCCTGAGTGACAGAATTTCTGACCCTCCCCAGACCTTAGACATCTGCACTAGAAAATGAGAGGGTTGGTGATATGCTTTTGAAGATCCCTGTTAGCTCAAATCTCTACAATCCTATTATCTACTTCATGCCCCATTTCCCCACTTAAAGAAATTAAGAAATAGAGCAGCATTGAAGATAACAGCTCATTTACGTCCCTGAAGGATTTCAAAGGCATTTCTAGATAGCAAGCAAAATGGAACTTGAGTTTGACTATGGTTGTCTTCTTAAAGGCACCCCTCCTAGCCCCAGCCCCATTCATGTGGGAGTGTCATGGGGAGGTCCCAGGCTCTGGGGTTGGGGGTAAATCCAAGGCGACAAGCAGGTCGGGACTATAGCTTCCCTCTCTAAAGCCAGTCTTTTCTCTAGCAAGTCATGAGCTGGGTCCAGCAGGCTCTTGGGATGGGTTCTTGGTGAGTCTGGCTTTCCATTTAGGATTTTAAGAGAAAGCTGGTCTCTACCTGAATTTCTTAGGCCAGAGCTACTGCCTTAGAGCCAGTTAGATGACTCTTCAGGGTGCCTCTAAGGGGAATAACATACTTTGCACAAGAGACTTGGCTTAGTGGAGTGAGTTGGGGCACAGTGTGTAGGGATGCCTTGCAGGCCCCAAGGGGCTAGGCCCATTCATTAGCAAAGCTGAGGATTCCGCTTAGACCTCCTCTTTGTGGCTTTAGGGTTGTCTGCTCTTGGAAACCCTGAAGGGCACCATAGAGGTTACTCAGATGGATAGGGCCCTGGCCAAGCCCCTCTTCTTTAGACTAAGGAGAACCTCAAAGCTTGTTATTTACAGACAGGGTATCTCAGCCGTGCCCAGTGACCTTTGGGAGCCTGCTTCAGGAAACTAAAGAGTGACCTGCAAGATTCATACCAAGTTCAACTGTCCTTCAGTAAACAAGTTCAAAGTGCTCTAGCAGGTTTTCTTTTCCACAGTCCCCTCTGGTCATTTCTCTAAAGTATAGCAACACAATATCCTAGAGCCAAGAGGACCCTTAGAGATATGTTTACTTCCATTTTGCAGATATGGAAACTGAATGTCAAAGGAAAGGAAGATTCATAGGACAAGATAGTAGCAAAGCCAGATCCCAGGGCTCCTAGGTGGAGTCTAGAGAGATCTTTCCACATCTGCAAGAAGAATGCAGAGTAGAAGACAGGGCAGCCTCTCCTGCCCCTAAGTGGGAATTCTCCAGGGTGTGCATTCTGTCTCATTTGCTCATTTCTGTTTCCCCAGTGCCTGGCCCAGTAACTACTTGTGGGCTGAGGGGATGGCAGTTACAACCCTGTCTAAAGCAATGTTATGTGAATAAATGTGATTTTGCTGTGCTGTCAGCCAAGAACATCCTTCCTTCTCTAATCTTTGAAGCTGCTGGAGGAGCTTGCCTTCCTCTGTAGCCTGAATGTAAATGCCCCTAAGGCAAGGAACATCTCTCCTTGGCTTAGGTCTCCTTGGCCTTTCTGAGCAGAACTGAAGCAGTCACACGAAACAGTGGACTGCCTGCATGTGAGTCCCACACTCTGTTCATAAACCTGTTTTCTGAGAACAAAAGCTTTTTGAGGATCTTCTTGGCCTCCTCAACGCCCTCCCCGCCCTGTGCCTTTCTACTCTAGCCAAGTTTGCTTGGGCCAAAAATCCACAATAGTTTACAGCATTAAACAGTACAGGTTTGGATGTGATATAACAAAGGTTGAAATGAACAGCTCCAGAGACGATCACACACTCTAAAGCAACTAGAGAAGGGGCTCCTTTTGTGGGGTTCCCCAGAGCACCTTTCGTGATGCCTGTCTCACACATAGGTACGGGTGTCCCCTTACATAAGTAAGGTGTCCGCTTGGGCTTGTGACTTCAGGCTGCCACCCTGACCCCTAATTATAAGATTCTCCCCTCCATTTTCTTCTTGATGCCTAGATTTTAGGATTGGTTTGCCATTGGGTTTTGTTTTCTTCAGAGGCAGCCACAGGGAAGGCTGGTGGCCCCATGGTGTCTCCTTTGGTGACTTTACAGGGTCATTTGGGTCAGCTCCGCCCTTAGGGCCTCCTCTGACAGTTTGTGCTCACAGCCTGCTCGGAGGTGGCCCTTTTGGAGGATCACATGGTTCCTGTAAGCATGGAAACACTAGGAAAATCAGTTCAATAAGTTCTTCCAAGTCTCTTTTTTTCTGTGCTTGAGGCCCAAGGCCTCAGCAGGTGGCTGACTGATGGGCCAGGTTTCCGAGAACTTCAGGGTGGATAAAGAGCTCTGGCCCATGATTAAAGACAGCTGAGTCCTCTGGTTGAGGATAGGCCCCTCTCAGACTTTCTGAGGCCTTCTTCTCCCTCTGTGATGGTGGGGATCTCTGGGATTCCTTTTGCTTCTGATGCCCTCTCATATCTGGTTCTGATATTCCTGCTTTACCGCCTTCCCTGCATCTCCTGCCACTCCCTCTCTAGGTAGCTTCTTGCCTTCTTGTTAGAGGAGGGGAGTGGAGTTTCCTTGGGAGCTAGGTCTGGGTTGGAGAGGAGGCAGTGTGAATGGCAGGTGGCTCCATGCAGGCCTTGAGGCTCACATGTGGCCTCTTCAGAGACTCAAGTTCCCTGTCAGTGCTGCCCACTCATTCTTGGGTATGAGTCACACACCCAGGGGTTCTGATTTGGAGATGACCAATGTCTATCTCTAGAAGGAGACTTTTCTATACTAAGTGAGTAGAGATACTTATTTTGTCTCAAGAATGCTGGCTCTCCATACATATGGAAGCCTCCGAGTTTGAGATCTTGTTGGGTACTTTTTCATTTTATGACCTTAGGACATCTAACTTTATTTCTGGAGTCCCACATCCGGTTTTTGTTTTGTTTTGTTTTTATTTGCAGTACTGAGGATTGAGCCCAGAATCTTCATACTGAGCTACATTTTCATCTCTTTCTATGTTTTATTTTGAGACAGGCTCTAAGTTGCTAAGTTGCCCAGGCTGGGTTCAAACTTGTGATCCTCTTGCCTCTGCCTCCAAGAGTGTTGGGATTACAAGTGTGCACCACCACACCCATTTGGGTTCCATGTCTTTATTGAATAACACAAGCTCCAACTGTGGGGCTAGATTTACCTAGCACTATGGGATGTGGGCAGGGATTGGAATGACCACAGGAGAGTTGTGAACCTGGGGATTGGCCCTGAAGGAAGTCACAGTTGTTTGTGAAGGATAGCTCACATCTTGTGAGCAAGTAATGGAGCCTAATTAAGAGAGCTCTGTGACATGTGCAAAGCAGGGAGAAACAAATGGGAACAATGGACATTGTCTCTTCTCCCTTGGTCCCCAGCCCAGCCCAGCCCAGCCCCAAGAGGACTTCCTGTTTTTCCTGAACAGCTCCCTCAGATGCTGAAGTTCATCTCTTGATGAGCCCAGAGAACTTGGCCAAGGGTCAGGAGAGTCACTCACTGGGCTTCTTGTGTTCTCACTGGATGGAACAGTAGTGTAGAGTGGGGAACTTCTTCAGAGGACTGTGGTTATTCAATGCAGTAGTCAGAGATAAGAACAGTAGGATTCTGGAAAGTTTCTAACCTGGGAGAAAGGCATTTCTTTCTGAGACAGACTGGGCATAACTCTCCCTTGAAATCTTTCTCTACCCTTCTTGGTACTGAGATTAGGTGAGTTCATTTTTTATCACTCACGCATTTATTTACTTAGCACACATATATGGGCTGGCCATCATAAGTCAGGGAAGCAAGAGTAAACAAAACTGTCTCAGAGAGAGATCTAAGTTGAGTAAAAAGGCCCCCTATGTCCTGCTGGAAAGAAAATGCTTTCTAGCACTGGCTTAGGGCCCAGCCCTCCCATTGGGCTTCTGGGATTCACACCAAGAGGAAATGCATCATATACTTAATTTACAAGAAAAGGGAAATAAATCACCAAGCAAAACAACACTATGAACCTTACAAAGCAAACACAACAGGAAGACACTGAGGCTAAGTGGATGAAAGGCCCCTGCTAGGCTGCCTGTCTGCTGGGGGATGTGGGATTTCTCCTTACAGTTGTAGAGTTTGGGGAGTTTCCCTGGAGCCTTATGGGATATTTAGCTTCTCATTCAACCAGTTCAATCCTGCTTTCTCTCCCATTCCTGGCTGTCATACCTGGCTCTCCAGATGTTGGGTAAACAAGAAGATCCCTGAGGTTTCCATCTGGCTTAAAATTCAATAATTCAGAGATTTCTAGGAGTCTGGGACTGGAGCTCAAATTGGGAGGATTGTGTTAATGTTAAGCATGAGTGATAGGGAACAATTTGTCTAGAGTAGTGATGTGGAAAGGCAGCAGGCTCTTGCTTAGCAGAGAAGTGGCTCTGGGTCTGTTCATCAGTGCCAAAGCCTTCGCTCACTTTCTGTGAAGAAGGGTAGAGTTGGTTACTGAAGGGCAGAGGAGTCTCATAATCAGATAGTTTCAATGAAAAGGTAGACCTGAGTCTGAGTTCTAAAACCCACCTTGGTTAAAATTTTTGAGAAAGTTCTGTTTTTATGACGTTCGGCACCATACTCTACCAAACTGGTCTTGGCTTCTCACCAGCAATCTGTGACCTTGAACTACAGTCAAGACCATACCCAGACCTCTGGATATCAGGTTAGAGGTATGGTTCTCAAGCCTTCTTGGACACTGGAATCTATACAGTGCTTTGAATAAGTCAGATTGCTGGGTTCCACTCCTTGATATTCAGTACAGCTGGGCTGGGGTGGGGCAGGGATTTGTACTTTAACCATCCTCTACATAGTTCTGTTTTCCAGTGAAGGATGAGAACCACTTCCTAAGGTCAATGACTCTCCATGTGTGATCTCCTAGGTAGCACCCTCACCTGGGGACTTTCCTGGGCCTCTCCCAGAGCTATTGAATTAGAATCCCTTGGTGCACTTGAGAATCCATATGGTTAATTCTGATGCACAGTAATAGTGGAAAACCAGGGCTCTAGAGCTCATCTGCTTCTTTGGACAACTTCCATGAGCCCTTTTGCTGAAGCAAAGAAGTCCTTCCCAGGCTAAGTTTATTGGAAAACCACTAAGTGGGTCATTCTCAGACATAAGTTGGGCCTGCCTGCCTACATCTATCTGTTGGCTGAGAATGGATTAGGGTATGCCTGCAGAGAGAATAAAATACGTTAGATGAAGCACACACTCTTCCTCCCTCTGCCTTCCTTCCTACCCCTCCTTTCTCCCCACATTACCATCTTAAACACTCAGGGCCTTTGGGTAGGAAACTAGCATTTCCAGGACAAGCCCTGGTCATGGGATCCAGGAGCAGGAAGCACCCCATGAGTGTCTCCAACTTCCGGTGGGCAGAGATATTGAGTTACCTTGGTCAAAGTGTGGCCTGGGCTTTGTCCCTGGCTTCTTGGGCCATGTAAGAGAGACTGGCTGGACTTCATCCTAAGGTGGTTGAATTCTGTTCTCTTCAGTGCAACTCTGTGGAGTTGTGTCTTGTTCAGTTGTATAGTGAGTCATGAGGAAGTTACTTTGTGCCAGGCCTGGCTGTGAATAAAGAAGGGAGACAGCGAGTGTGTACTGTCTACTGTGAGGTTTGAGATCATACCCTGGGGTGGGAATATCTACTCTCAAACCCCAGCTTTGCCATTCACTAGTTATGTGACCTTGAGCAAGTTGTTTGACCTCTTTGACCCTCAACGCCCTCATGTTTAAAATGAGATGATGATAACATAGGGATGTTGGGAGAACTTAGAGGAGTTAATACATGTAGAGTTTAGAATAGCACATGACACATAGTAATGCTAAACTATCATCATTTCTATATTCCAGGCACTGTGGTACCTACTTGTTTTTTTTTTAATATCATTTAATCATGTGATTTAGTGTTATACTGAGTGAGATACCTACGGTCTAGAGAAATGAAGCTATCTGACCAAGTTCACCCAACTGAGTGGCAGAATAGGGTTTGAATCCAGGCTTCTGTGACCTGAAAGTCTACTCCCTTCAATGTGGATACCATTTGGGAAATAAGAAATCTGTCATTGTATCAAGAAGGAAGGTGTGGGGCCAGAGATGTAGCTCAGTGGCTCTGCTCCTGCCTGGGAAGTTCAAGGTCCTGAGTTCAATCCCTGGTACAAAAAAAAGAAGAAGGAGAAGGAGAAGAAGAAGGAGAAGGAGAAGGAGAAGGAGAAGGAGAAGAAGCAGCAGCAAGGTGTGGATGTTCATACCCTTGAGCCACCTGGGGAGTATTCAAGATGGCAGCATCCCCATGGGGTGGGGCTGAGGCAGGGACAAACTTTGCAAGGACTTGGTGGAAGAGCAGGAAAATAAAGCTGAGAAAAGGGGGAGGTAGAAGCCTGGTGTGTGTGTGTGTGTGTGTGTGTGTGTGTTTGTGTGTGTGTGTGTTTACACATATGCTAGGAGAAGACAGGACTGGGAGAAAGCAGTGTACAGTGTAGGAAGAAGGGGGTCAGACAGGACAGCTTCCAGGAAATGGTTGAGGGTCAGGGGAGGTGACAGAGGCCTCAGAATCCCTCCACTGGACAGTGAGGTGTTGTTCCCCTCCCTCACCCCGATACACAATTTAGCCAGATGATTTGGGCCTGGGAACACCTCCTTTGTGAGATGGGGTTGGTTTTCTAGGCCACCTCACTTTGTTCTGTCCAGCTTTTCTTCCAGGTTCCAGTGGATAAAGTAAAACTTCACATGCACATCCTATGAGGCTAGGGAGATTTTGTTTAATTTCTCTTCCTAAATCTTTGTGTCAAGGTGTGGCCCAGGCTCCCTTGGGCCCATCTACTACAAATTAACACCAAGAACCCATTCCTGAGAGAGCTCCTGGCCCTCTACCCATCCCTCTGACCCCAGACTTGGAGATGATTCTGAAAGGGCCTTTGGAGACAGGAGTTTCTGATAGGACTCCCTGAAGAGGAAGAAGCTAAAAAAAGGCCTTGCCACTCCTCTTCCCCCAGAGCATCTTTCCAGGGTCATCTACTCATTGGGATTCCCACTTTCTGCCCTGCTCTGACAGAAGGAAGAAATCAAACAACTAGCATTTGTGAGGACTTTCAATGCAGCATATTTGTCTTGTGCTAAGGGGTTCACATCTTGTCCTTATCCTCATGGTGAAGGGTAGGGAGACAGTATTATTTCCATTTTACAGACAGGAAAATTTACCTGGACACAGTGGCACACACACCTGCAGTCCCAGCTACTTGGGAGGCTGATGAAGGAGGATTTCAAGCTCAGGGCCAACCTGAGCAACTTAGTGAGACCTTTTCTCAAAAAAAAAAAAAAAAATGCTGGGATGTAGCTCAGTGGTAGAGAGCTTGTTTAGTATGTGCAAGGCCCTGGGTTCTATCCAGGTATTAAGAAAGGAAGGAAAGAAGTAATGATGGGAGAGAGAGAGAGAGGGAGGGAAAGAGATGGAGCAAGAAAAGAAAGAAAGAAAGAAAGAAAGAAAGAAAGAAAGAAAGAAAGAAAGAAAGAAAGAAAGAAAGAAAGAGAAAAGAAAGTGGAGGCCTCAAAATAATTTTTCTGTTCTTGGTTTAGGGAAAAAAAATCATGTTTAGACTCAAGATTGGAGGATGTGCCTGGCCCTTCTCCATCTCTGATCCTTGACAGTCAAGTGTGGCTGAGGACTCTGCCCCATGCCAAGTGCTAAGAGGATCTAGGACCAGGATATGATGTCATCTCTGTCATTCTCTCAGGCCACCCTCTTGGTGGCAAAACTCAATGGACAATTGTGATGTGACAGGATCACACCTGGCAGCAGGACATCCCAGAGAGCAATGGGAGGACAAGGCCCATGAGCTGTTGGAGCGTAGGGAGCAAAAGTTCAGTGGGGGACTTTGGGAGACTAATGGGAATTGGATACAAGAAAGGGGCACATTCTGGGGAGGTGGGGTCAGGAAGACAGGAATGAACCTAGCACGTCCCTGGCCAGCAAGGGGGCCCATTGCAGGGAGGACCATGGGATTCAGCACAGGGGGCAGGGTGGCACAGGCTGGGCCAGGAAGGGGGACCTGACAATGAAACTCCATCTGAAGGATAACTCAGACCCATGCTTAGTCCTCAGTGCTCTCTAGTTAAGGGAGCAGTTACAGAAGATACAATATTTTGGAAAGATTTACAACAAAAAGAGGGTTTTGGACAAATAGGTTCTTTATGATGGTTAGATGATGTCAAGGGCATCAGCCCCCATCTGGCATCTCATTCCCAGCAGGCAGCAGCTAGTGACTAGAGACTGCTGGTAGGTCCTCAAAAGCTGGAGTGTGGCACTCCTGGTCCTCACACAGGGCCCTTCAGGGAGTGCTGATCAGGGCAGCAGGGTGGAGAAAGCATGGCTGGGATACGGGTGCTGAGATGTGCTGCCACTGCCCCTGCTTGCTGTGCATCTTTAGACAAAGCCACCCCAGTCCTTCGATGGTGCCACCCTTGCTCAGCTAGGAGCCCTAAGCCTGCCACCACACCCCCAGAGGTCCCCACGGGACCCCGTGCAATAGTGCACAGGGAAGCCTGGAAAAGGTACTTTGTGACATCAAGGGCACTCTTGTTATCTCCATCTTCCCTGTGTGGGGCCACTATTAGACACCCTCCAAGCTCATCCCTCATGCGTCACTCTAACTGATTGCCAACCTGGAAGAGTCACCATATGGAGAACCAAGCCCACGTTACCACACTAGCATGCAGTTGTCTGGATTCCAAGCCCAGGTCGGGCGTTAGTAGACTGGCTTGAGGGGTTTCAGGGCGGGGGGTCTCCTCTTGGGACTTGGAGGTGGGTAGCAGAGGGAAGGAGCTGAACTTTGTCCTACTTGGGCTGCAGGAACAAAAATTTTCTGTTGCCTCTGGGTGAGCTATTTTACCAGCACTGTTACACCCCGTGTATTTTGAAAGGCCCAAATCCACATTTCTCTCATTCTGACTGTACTGCAGCGCTATTATGTAAAGGCTGTGTGGTGTCCAAGAAGCCACTGGGGGCACAGGAGAAAGGAGCTTTCTCATCGAAGCACCTTCTACTCTCCCTTTGTTTTCCACAGCCTCCTAATTGGCACTACCATCATGCCTGGTGACTGAGGGGACCCTGCTGCTTGGAAACCTGGAGCTGCGTGTGTGTATGTGGGGTAGAAGGATAATGCAAAGGGTGGGAGAAACTCTCTGCAGGTGACAAGAGGGTCCCCTCAGTCTTCTCATTCCACACACCAAGGTGAGGAGAAGAGCCTCTGCCCCATGCATGTCCCCCTCCTCAGAACTCCCAGGAGGGTGTCTTCTCCATCAGGAGCCTCCAGCAGGTTCCAGGGCCTAGAGTTTGACACTATTACTGGGAATGATAACAGTGCACGTCTCCAGAGCTTGGAGTTCTTGCTAAGGTTCCACTGGGGTCGTTCACCCTGAGAGTTACGGGGAAGGGAGCTGATGTGCCAGGGAAAGTGAGGGTAAGAGCAGGATCAAGGGATTGGGCTAGAGTAGCGCAGTGACTAGTGGGTTCTCTTCAGGCCTCTTGAGCCACAGCGCCGTCCAGAGGCCTGGGGAAGAAGCACTGGCCTAGCTGGGTGCATCCCAGAGTGGTCACTGTGACGGACGCTTCTCTGGCTGGGGATGACCCCTTGAAAGGGATCTAGTGATGAGAGAGCCAGTGTCCGGACAAGGAGGGCCCCTGCTGACTCAGGATGAGTGGCTCCATGGGCTCTATGGACAGCACAACACCAAGATGACACTTGAGTGACCCTGTATGGGCCTTCCCAGGACTGACCCACATAAGTATCTCCGAGGGAACAGGGAAGTTTTTTATCTGCATCACACATGTCGGGAAGCAGAGTTCAGTGTGTCTCTGTGCCCAAGGGAGCAGAGAGGGGACTCACTGGGCCTCAGCCCTGCCCAGTGCCCCTGAGCCCCCTGGCAGCTGCCTGCTTTCCCAGAAGCAGATGGACGGTGACTCCCACAAAGGGGCTGTGTGGTGCGCGTGCTGCGGTTCCCATGGCAAACCTAGGTCTTGTGTGTTTCTAATTACTCCTGGTGTTCTTTTCTTCCTGCTGTGTGAGTGCAGCCAGGCTGTCCCCCACTTCCCCTCCCACCAAGAGTCCCCAAATGGAGCCCTTCTCACAAACAAGGACACTGGGCCTAGGCAACTAATACGGGTCACCAAAAGACTGGGGCAGCCAGCTGACTTATTCTGCGAAAATAGTTTTATCATAGTAAGATATATTTTATATATATATATATATTTTTTTTTTCTTTTTTCTTTTTTTTTTTGGACCAGGGATTGAACTCAGGATCTTATACTTACAAGGCAGGCGGTGGAACCACTGAGCTAAATTCCTGGCTCAATTTTTGTATGTTTTTAATCTTTTTTTCCAGTATTTGAGATTGAACCCAGGGCCTTCCTTCTAAGCTCCATTCCTAGGCTGTTCTTTTTCCTTTTCCTTTTCCCTTTTTTCTTTTTATTTTGAGACAGGGTCTGGATAAGTCACCAAGTTGCCTAGGCTGGGCTCAAACTTGCAATCTTCCCCCTTCAGGCTCCCAGAGTGTTGGGATTACAGGTGTCCACCACCAGGTCCAGCTCGATTTTAATCATTTTTAAGTGCCACAATTCAGTGGCATTTCTGGGGATGGTGGTACACACCTGTAATCCCAGCACTTGGGAGGCTAAGGCAGGAGGAATCCTGCAAGTTCAAGGCCAGCCTGGACTACATGGTGAGTTCAAGGCCAGCCTAAACCACATAGTGAGACCCTGTCTCAAAAACTAACAACAACAAAAACAATTCAGTGGGATTGAGTACATTCACAATGCTGTGCCACCTTCTCTACCGTCCATCTCTAGAACTCTTTTCATCATCCCAAACTGAAACTTCCCACCCAATAAACACTTAACTACTCATGCCTTTCTCCCTAGCCCCTGATAACTTTTGTTCTACTTTCCATCTTTATCAATTTGACCCCTCTAAGTGCCTCATGTACATGGAATCATACAGGACTATTCCCTTTTTGTCCGGTTTATTTCATTGCTGGGCACTGGTAACTTCTTGAGTATCCAACTTCCAGTACCTGAGATTCTGGGGCTCTGAGGCCAGCCTACATCCTGAGATGGACACTTGTGAGGGGCCAGCAGCCAAGGGTGGAGAGAGGATGGAAAGCAAGAGCTCCCCTGGGGAGGCCAGGTGTCCTTCCTCAGGGACCCAGCACCTTCTCCCCAGCCCGCCATCTCTGGTGTTGGAAACCCCAGAACCAGCCCCATGGTGGAGATGGAAGGAAAGGGATGAAGGAAGACTGCACAGGGGGTAAACCCAGCCCACTCAGTTCCTTCCTCCTTCTGAAACAGATCTGTAATAGAGAACAGTTTTGATTCTTGAGAAGAAACACGTGCCTTATATCCTTGGCCGTGTGTTGCAGTGTGGAGAAGCCTTGGTCATGGTGGTCTTCAGAGGCTCAGTTTCCCCATCTGTAAAACGAGGACAATGCTATCACTGCCTGCCACTCCAAACAAGTAAAGGTAGCAAAGCCATTCTGAAGTGAGGCAGGATTGATGTTACCACCAGCCAGGCTTAGAAAGAAGGCACCTGGGCCAAAGCTCGGTCCTCATCTAGGGGATGCCTCCATGCTGTACTTTCTATGATCTCTTTGGAGCTCTCCTGTTTGGGGCTCAGCCCCAGGAAACACCTCTTCTCCATCCTGACCTGCTGCCTGCAGGCACAGAGCTGCATCTGTGCAATCAGATGGCTACCCTGGCCTAATCTCCCAAAGGAGTCAGCTGCATCAGTGTATGGATGCTACTGAGGTCTTCTTAGCTCCAGAGAGGCCTCCTGGAGGGAAGCAACCCATCTTTTAAGACTCTCGGGAGCAACCCCCCAACAGTGGGCTTACAGGTGCCACCACGAGAAGTTCTTGGAATTCTGGAGTTCTCTTGCTTTCTGGCCCAGAGTCCAGCCAGGCACCAGCAGTGCCTCCCTCCCTCAGTCTCAGGGTCAAGGCTGTCTTTGGGCTCTGCAGCAGCCCTGAGGGCAACTGTGTGGCTGGTATGGGCTCTCCTTGGGCTGCATCCACCCTGACATCCTTCAGAAGTAGGGCTGGTTTTGGGGACTCATATTTTAATTGAGAGGCTATGAGATATTCAGCATGGCACATTCTGGAATTGGGGTATCATGCTTCCTGGCAATAGGGCTTTCCCCTGTATGGCTGTCTCACTCTCACTCTGAGGAAAGGCCTATGGAGGCAGGAGTCTCCCAGGCCAGTAGCTGGGGAGGAAATAGGGTGAGGCCTACTTTGTGGCTGTCTGGGCCTTGGGAGCCTGAGGCTCTGTTTGGCTGCAAGTTACTTCAGAGCACAGGGCCCCAGCTGCAAACCTGTGGCTTTCAGTGACAAGCCTGTTCTCCTCCTCCTCCTTCATCCCTCCTATGGTACGCATTTAATGTTTTAAAAATGAACACATTCATTGAGTGTCAGTGTCTTATTTTTCCACCATCAAAGGGCAAATCCTCCCTCCTCATGAATCTCAGCAGGTGCTGCTGGCACTCTTGCACGTGAGGTTCGTGCATTTCTAGTAGTCCTCCTGCTCATGTCCATCTCCTCTGATGTCCACTTTAGCTGCACAGGGCTGCACAGGCATGACATTCCCTGTATGGGGAGGAAAGAGAGGCCGCGATGCCTCCCTGTTGGCAAGAGAGACTTCCTTCCCTCTAAGGGAGGCAGAGCCAGGGCAGAGCCTGAGATACCGCTCTCTCTCCCTGGGGGTATCCTTGGCCATGTGTGGGGGTGTGGGAAAGGCATGATCATGGCACTCTGCTGGTTCTCAGCTTCACCATCTGGGACCCCAGGCTGCTGGGCCAGTGTGGCTGGATCACGGCACCTCCCTGGTACATCGCTTCCTCTCACTGGGCTAGGCCAGGATCAGGCCAAAGGCCCTGTCCAGGCTGAATAGATGCTGAGTGGTATAGTGGATGCAGGCCTGATGATGACTGATGCTGTCATACTCCATTCAGCTGGGGGAGGTAGTGGGTATTGGGTGGTGAAGACATAAGGTCAGTACAAGTTACCATCAAAGTCAAAATTTTAGTGTTAAAAGCATAGTTAGCTTATAAATATATAGAGATTTATTCAATTTGCAAATGAGGGAATGAGAAGGATGATAATCCTAGTTGAAAGTAGGATATGAAAAAAAAGGTATATGCCTGTATGTATATATACATGTTAATGGGGAAAATGCTGGAATAAGATGCTAAATTAGACACACAACTGTTTAATGTCCAGGGGGGAAATAAAACCATAACCTTCAGTGTTATACTCTCCACTGGACATAACTCATCAGCTCTGGATCAGTTCTCTAGCAACAACACCTAATCATAACCATAGAGTCTGGGTCTTCTCGGTAGCAGATCAAACAGTGTGATGCTCCCCCAGAAAGCGAATGACTCTCAGGCAGTTCTGGTAGACCATGACCTACTATGACATTGAAAGGACACAGAGTACCTTATTTCAAAATTATATATGATATATATAATAATACATATATTAAATAGTATATACATATTAAACAGTAAGAGATTAAAACAGGGATGAGAGCCAGTGAGACCTCAAGACAGAGATGGCCAAGACTGAGTCAGCACAGTGAAGCCACTGCCTCTGCCCCGCTTCCAGCCCTGTCTCATATACTTGGTTGGGCCTTGCCCCATTAAAACTCGGCACCCCATGATGGATCTGAGTCCAGAGATTGGGGATGTCCAAGGTGTCTAGGGCTCCCATGAGTGTCAGTGAGGACCTGAAGGCTGATGCATGTGTGTGTGTGTGTGTGTGTGTGTGTGTGTGTGATATTCCTCTTGTTTATTATCACAGGGACTCTCTCTAGAGCTGTGCCCAGAGCTGATGGCTCTTAGTTTCCATCCATTGCTTTTTCCTTGACTTTTTCTCATGGCCACACCCCCTTCCCAGCTACCACATACATATGACCCTGTCATGTAAGCAAACCCAGCTTCTCTGATGTCTATAGGAGCAGCAGAACCTCCCCATAGAGAGGTCTCTAGCCCCCACCTTCCACCTCTTTCATTTGAGCCATGGCTGGCCCATTCTGCACCTTTACATGAAATAGAAAATGTTCCCTTCTGTTGGCAGATGCAGCCTAGACCTGGGACACATACATGACTACTTCAACCCCACTCACCCCTTGCTGGATACCTTGGTACCTCAGACAGACATGGTGACCCTGTCCTTCTCCCCTACTCAGAGATGTCCAGAGTGGTCTCCAGGGCTCCCTTCAACTTCTTGGCAAATCTTTTTAAGTCCCAACAGCAGATGGCCCAACCAGTGACAGCATCCATTCTCAGAGATTCTGCTCATCACTCATGCTGGCCTTGTCTCACTGACCAGAGGAGATTGGTGGCCTGGACCGTCTGCTGTTGGGGGCCAGGGGAAGCCCATCCTGACCCATGGATTATAGGGCTGGTTCCTAGGCTCCAAATACAATGGCACAGACATGACACAGATTGTACATCCTCCCAGGAGATGGAAATGGGGCTCACCTTCACAAGAGGGCATAAAAAACTGCCAACAGATTGTCTGGAGGGCTCTGGGGCTTAGGTGGATGCTATGCATGTGCATATGTGCTTGTGTGTTTATGTGTGTGTGGAAGGGTTCTGAAGAGAAGGTGATGCCTAAGGATGTTGAGTTTGAGACTGGGAGCTTTTCTCTGGTGGCTCTGATGATTCTAGGGGCACAGAACAGTCTCTGGAGCACCTCCCCACCAAGTTCCCCAATTCTGCTTCTCTCTGCTGCTGGGCTTCATTTGTGCAGAGAGATAATCTCAATACATGCCCTGCAGTCAGTCTGAAAGTGTCAGCTCTCACCCCTGGAGTGTGAGTCAAGTGGCCCCTAACTCCTTCCAGAGCTTCTCTTCATCTCTAGACTCTTGCTCCCTGCCTACAGTTTGGCAGGAGCCCCTCAGGGTAATTAATAAATCAGTGTTTGCCTTCTTGGAAAAGTGATTTTTTTTCCCTTTGTAAGTGATAAGTGTTTCAGCAGAGCCTGGTGAGGTATCTGGGGGTGGAGGAGTTGCTTTTATTAATCTGTGCCAAAAAGACTGTAATATTGACTCCACAAAACGAGGGGATGGGGCTAGACAGCCTCATGGTGGCACCTGCCAGCCCTGCCGTTCTGGCTCCATGAACCCTTGTCTGTAGGAGGGCACTGATTCTAGGCCATCTGGGCCCTGTTCTCAGTTGTTTTGCCAAAATGGAGATATTGGGGTCCACCCACAGCTTCCCAAGGCCTCGGCAGTGAATGCCTGGGCTCATCAGTTGAGGAGGAATGTGCTGGTAGCTAAGAAGGAAACGCAGTTTGGTGGATATTGTGCTGGGGCTTTTCCTGCCTCTGGCTGCTTTCTTGCTTGCACAGGTAAGGTCGGGTGAATGAAAGGCTTTTCAATCATGTACAAGATCTGTGCACCCTCTGACACTCTGGCTGCACTTTCATCACAGGATGGTGTCACCATCTTCATCACGTCTGACATTTGTACAATCTGAGAGTTTACCAAGTTTACCAAATGTAGTCTTTCCATTTGAGATGAAAATTCTTACCTTGATGGGGTTGAGGTGGAATAACCATTATTGTTTTATAGGCTCAGAAAAGATAATAAATTTTTTCTCTTAGGGCCATTAAATACTGGAACCAGAATTAGAATCCAGGTCTCTTTTTAAGTTACCTATGTCATCTCACATCCATCCATCCATCCACCCATCCATCCATCCATCCATCCTTCCTTCCATCCATCCATCCATCCTTCCATCCATCCATCCATCCTTCCATCCATCCATCCATCCACTGTTATGTTCTCATTCCAACATAGGTAGAAGTAGTGAACAGAATAGAACCTTTTGCCTGCTCATATTTGCTGTCTGTTCTGGGGAGAGTCTCCCTTTGGGGAACATGCTGTCCCTAGGGAGGAAGAGGAGGATGTACAAGACATGAAGCTCTCAGAGGAACACTGTGTTTACACTTCTCACCACTTCCTTCTTCCTTCTGTCCACAGCAGACTGGATTTGGGTCATTTTGGGAGCCCTCCACCTTCAGATTTCTAGAACCTTTGGCAGGGTGAGGAGGATCTGAGTTGAGAAGAAGCTACATGCTAGCAGAGGGAAGGAAGGACACTGATGTTTTAGACACAGCTGAGCGCTGGTGCAGTTTGCAAACATCTTTTCAAATTAATTTCTCACAACAGCTCCCAGGGGCAGCGGGAAGGATGAGGAGTGAGGTAATCAGAGTGAGTGGGCCAGGTCAGGGAAACCAAGATTCCTGGCAATCTCATGGTAGTGAGATTGGGCCTTGTCAGCACAGATTCCCCTGTCTGACCAGCTCAGGGGACAATTTTCTTGATGTCATGCAGTTCTCAAAGTTCAGCATCCAACTAAGACAGATAACCAGGCCCCACCTCCAGAAAGTATCACTCAGCAAGTGGGCATGGGGGTTGGGGGTCTGTATTCAATCAAGCCCCCTACTCGGTGATTTCTGTGCAGTGCTACGGGGCCACTTTTGAGTAAGGATAGCAACTTTTCCTTGGGACATTGGAGGCCTTTGGGAATGAATCCAGTATAAAAATGGCACTTAGCTCTGGGGACAAGGAATGTGTATAGGACTTGTAGGATTCCAGGACTTGTAGGAGAGAAACTTTGCTGTCAAACTCCCCTGAAGGCTGTGCAATACATGGGTATTTATGTGCTTCTCAGTGCCTGAGTGTAGATATAGAGGGTGGGAAGCAAGATCAGAACACCAAAGTGTGCAGGATGCTCAGGGCTGACCAAGCAGGCTAACTGAGAGTGAAAGGGCTCATAAACAGAAACAGACCAGGATTCCCTGCCAGCCTCAGTTGCTGAGGCAAATGGTGAGAAAAGGAGACGCTTCCAGTCTCAATCACTGAGGACTTCTGAGACTTCAGGATCAGGGCGAGGTGACTGAGTGCATCCAAAACAGATTCTGGAAGCCAAAGGTGACCTTGGAGGTTCTCTACTTACAGGGACAGGCAGTTTAGGACATACAGGCAGCTTTCTCCCCAAGACTATAGGCAACATAAAAATTCTGCTTACACCAGCCTGGAGGCTGGGATTGTCTAAGATTCAAGTTGGCACAAGAATTCTGTACAAACCTCTTTGCCATTCCTGATCAACATCACTCCCTTATTTGCCACAGAAAAAATATGAAGCTGAGAGCTGAAAATGGCCTGCTCAAGGCAATGCGTTATTTAGAATTAGAGCTGGGAGGTGAAAGAAGGTAGTTGAATAGTAAGGCAGCATTTTCAGAAAGGGCTTGGGTTTCCTGGCCAGGTGTACATAGTGACATCTCTGTTTTGAAGATCCACCACTCACTTGGTATATTAAAGGCTTGGGAAAGTGCAACAAGAAAGAATTCTGTTTAACTTTTTTCCATTTAACTTTTTAAACTCAGTGCTCCCTACATGGAACTGGATACTTCAGAGGTATAGAAGCTGCTCTGTCCAGTAGGATAGTTCTTCCTTGGGACGTACAGAATCTGCAGGGTGAGCAAGAGATCAGACAGCAAGATGATCCCACTGTGTTTCTAGGGTCTGCCTTGCCTGTGATCAACGGCTCAGGAAGGACATGGGGTCGGTGCTAAATAAAGCTGCTCTCACCCAGGATGCAAGGAGCAAATGGATCCTCAAGTGATTTAGGCTTCTCAGATTGGGGTGGAATATGAGCCTCTTCACCAAATCCCAGTCAACAACAAAAAGCAACTCTTTTGTAAGGTGGTTTTAGAATAAACCAAAGAAAGTTCCATTTCCAAGAGTGAGGAATAAACCTAGAGAACTCTGAGAGATGTGTTTGTGTGCAGAGGTGGGGGTGAGTGAAAATGTGACATCCCACTTAGTTGGGTGCCCTGGACTTTGGCACTCAATTTCCCTCATCTGGAAAATGGGAATATTATTTTGCCATAAGGGTGTGAAGATCAAATGCAATAATGAATGGAAATCACATAGGAAGCATGCAGGAAATAGAAATGATTATTATAGGATATTTACTAATCTGCACCTCCACCATCAATAAAACAGTGGATGATGAAATTCTTGAAAACAACAAGTGACATGGAAATTCTTCACATTTCAAAATGTTCTGAAAGTCTGCCTGACCAGATTCACTTTTGCCAGCTGGGTGGCTGTGGTTGAGAGTTAGGCTTCAAAATAGTGCCTGTCATTGCTCTGTAGATGAGTTCTCAACTTGATTCGTTCCTTGCTGTTTCCCGTTCCCAGAAGAGCACTTCCTCATGGATTACGTTTCAGTAGTCTTGAGGTAGGAAGCTGAGGTTCTAGGCCCAGCACCTTCCCTTGTAGCATGTGGCTGGGAGCAAGTCTTTCAGTCCCATGACTCTCAAAGTTTTCTATCACACAGATGGATCTCTAACAGACAGATCTTTCAGCTGGCTCTGAAAATTAGAGGCCAGGAATGGGGGTTGAGCACAGTGCCTGGCTCCCTGCATGCTCTCCATTCAAGGGAAATGGCTGTGTGGGTGTGACTGTCATTGCTCTGTCCCAGCATCCTCATCCATCGTATGTGTGGGAACCTGAGCTTGGGGAGAGCAGGGGTCCTGAGGACCTCTGGGGAAGGCTTGGAGCACGGTTAGTCTGAGCAGCAGGTTCTCCACCTTCTCTTCAGCCTGAGCTCTTCTGCTTGGTCTGTGGAGGTTGAAATAAGTTTGCACACCTGACAGGTAATCACTGCTGCTTTCCTGCACCGTGACATGTGAAGAGCTCTGGATGTGTCAGTCTTCCTTTCCCAAGGTTGGCTTCCCCACTCACCCCCCCCCATGTACCTTCTCCATGCACACGGGAGCACATACACACATATAATGCACATGAGAGTACAGGTGCACACACACTACACACACAAAAGCACACACACACATGACAGCACATGCACACAAACCTGCAAACATGTCTCATTCCTGCCTTTGTGCTTGTCCCCATGCCATTCCCTTAAATCTGCCTTTTCTCAAAAGTACTTGGGTTACTTCAGCCCTCTGCTTCCTGAATGCTCAATGGAGCCTTTGATGGGATTCACTTTGCTGCCTGGAATGATCCTTTGTGTCTAGCTCAGAAGCTTCTCCAACTAAGGCCCTCAATGTCCTCCTGTAGTCACTGGCTGACCATATTTGGTGGAAGTGGACAGGAACTCATAGTATTTTGTTGCTTGCCAGCTCTTGAAAGCCACTCTGGGGGGCTCTGTGTAGCTCTATGGCTCTCCCTGTGGCTGGGCAGTGGACACAGGCTCAAGAGAAGTTGCTTCAGGGAGCACACGTACAGGGTAATGGGTCAGTCCACTGGGGAGATCCATGAAGTGAGATCAAGGCTGGTGGACACTGGACTGGCTTCAGAGCTGAGAGTGACACTGTCTCTTGCCTCTTCAGTATCTCTCCTTTTCAGAGCCTGGCCCTACTTGTCCCCCAGCTCCAGCCTGGGCCCATGGGAGAAGGAGGCATGGCCACTCCTGCATCCAGGACAATATACTTCTGTGGTATTGAACTGACAAAGAGATGACACACACCTGCCACTAGGGAGAGACTTCTAATCTTGCTTCCCTCTGCATCCTGCCTCCAGGAACCCAAGGAGAGCAAGAGGAATTCAGAGAGAAACCAGATGCTTCTGAGGCAGCCTCCTCTCTCCCTTGGTGCAGAGGTCCAGAGGAGCGTGGGCGCTGGCTCACAGACCCACAGTCACGTGGCAGCAGGATAAGCCCGTACAAATGTGGGGACTGGAGTGAGTGCTACTGCCTCAGTCTCACAGACACATTTTTCCTGGGTCAAATTTGCTTAAATCTTAGGTCTGTATTTACGAGCGGCAGCCAGAAAGAGCATTGTGTCATGAACTCTAATCTCTGCTAAGAGGAGAGATCTGATAACTCCATCCTGAACACATTCAGTTGGAGAACTCCATGGTGTGAATGTTCCAGATCTTGTTCTGGCTGCAAGGTAATCCTGAGCTGAACAGGGGGCAGGTAGCCAGGCCCTACCTGACACATAGGAGCTCTTTCAGGAGGCAGGGTGCCCAAGCAGGAACTTCAAGCGGGCAGGCCAGAAGTTCCCGTTGTTTCTTCTCCTTCCTCAGTGCTTTATTTATTTTTTCCCCCTCAGGGCTTTAGAAATGAGATTTCTTCCCAAGCTTCATGCCCTTCCTGGGCCATGGTCCTCTCCCTCTTATCTAGGCAGGACAAGAGCTGTCCAAGTGTGAGGCCTTAGACCTGTTGTCACCCACTCCAAAGCCTCTCAGACCTTAATGTGTCCTCCAGATGTCTCAAACCTTGCACCACAAGGAGCCATCCCAATGCTCAGGGATACAGTCTGCTCTGCAGAGTTCGGTGGGGAGACAGTCCAGTAAGTAGGAAAGACGTGGACTGCTTTGGAGGAACTGGAAGGTCTCCAGAGCTGATTCAAACCTGCCTCTTCCACTCGATTGCCTTAGCCCTCCTGAGTCCTAGTTAATGTGAAGCTTAGAATTGCTAAGGCACCCAGTGCCTGTGGAGACCCAGGAGGCTCCAGGGGAGGTGCATGGGAGATGGGCAGGGCCTGCCTTCAGAGAGCCCTTAGCTCTTAGCTTCCTGCTGCCCTTGAAAGGCACACACTCTACTGCACACCAGCCTGTCACCAATTTCCTTCTTACAGGACCACTTTTGTCTTAACTGCAAATTCCTAGGGAAGGTGAGACAAATGGGGCTCCTTACAGAGGGGAAGACTTTAGTCAGGGTGAAACCATGGCCCCGAAGTGACAGTGTGCGTGTCTCGATTTTACCACTGTAGCATGATGTTTCTGGAGCAGAAGCAAGTGGAGTCCCAGGCTGGGAATCTGTAGTTGTGCAGCCACCACATGGACTGCTTGTGTCTCCTGCCCAAGGCTGTGATAGTACTCTCCTAGTTTGCCAGCTGTCCCTGAAATTCAGTTGTGCTGGGTTCATTCTCTCCATGCCTCTCCTCATTCCTTCCAAACAGTCTGCTGCCTTATGTCTGAGGGATCCCTGGAGATGCTCACTGCTGTGGGCCACGAGTCTCCAGGGTCTGCTCCCAGAGCAAGGCCCCATTTTCCCCTCAGCTCAGTGCTGGGCACATAGCTACAGAGGAGGGAGTTTCTGCTGAGGCTGGATGGAACAAATGAAATGTAATCTGAGCTTAGTTTGAAGCATATTCATAAAAAACTAATGGCCCAGGTGTGTTTATTTCTGAATTGGTCCTAATAGACCCCTACGCACATGATCCCAAATCCCAACAAGCAGGAAATCCACCGCTTCCTCCATGCTCCCAAAACAGTGCAAGGGCAGAGTGCATCCTGAGCACAGTCCCCGGGTATTTCTGCAAGAGCCAAAGGCTTTCGGAATCAATAAAGGAAGGTTCTCAGGAATTTTACTACAGCTCCTTCTTTGAAAACAGATGTCCAGGTGGAGGATGCAGGGGGACTCTCTGAACATGGAACATTCAGTGAACGGGAACATTGTTACATTATGGGGCTCTGCCCCAAGTGTGCTATGACGTTCACGCAAAGCCTCACTTAGCCTGTGGAGACGGCTGCACTGGGCCAGAGAATCTTGGCTATCAGAAACTCCGAAGTGTCATCCAGTCCACCTCTCTGTTGCAACTCAAGTTTACACCTAAAATCAATCCAGACTAGCTGAACTCCCATTTTATGGAGCTAAAGGGTAGATTGACTAAAAGATGAATGGAAGGCAAGTTGGCAATTTTCAGTACCATGTTTGCTATTAGTACTTTACCCTGAACCTCCTAGGAATGGTACAGAGTCCTTGTGTTCTGAATCTCCAGGTGAGTGGGTGTCCGTCTCCACTGCTATTTGCTGTGTGCCAGGGACTGGGCCAGAGACACAGGGTTTTGTTTGGGGGGCTGTCTGGGTGAATTGTAGAACACTTAGAAGCATCCCTGGCTTCTTCCCCACTAGACGCAGTAGCACCCCTGCCCCCATGTTGACAACCAAAAATGTCTCCAGATACTGCCAGATGTTCCCTGGGAACTATGCCATCCACATTTGAAATACATCATCACATCATTATGGTGCATACAGTATTAATGCTATATGTAGCCCTTTGAGGAATCAACTTTATTATCATCCTCACTTTACAGATGACTTTACCAGAGCTGAGGAAGTCAAGTCCCTTCTCTGCAGTCAGAACTCATACCTGAGTCTGTCTAACTGCAAAGTCTGTGATTTTAACTGAAATTCCTGCTGCAGGAACAAGAAATCATGCACTCTCTGAAGCTCTAAGGAGCAAGGAACTCAGCTGGTATGCACCTGGAAAACATTTAAGCTAGACAAGAGCTAGAGCTAATTAGTGGTGTTCAATGCAAGAGTCTCAAGCTATGAATTCCTTCCCTTCCGGGGTTTTGGGGACTAGGTGGAGATGGGAAGAAGCAGTTGGGTGGTAAACCTGCCTTCCTTCTGCAGTAGGTTCTCTGACTTTGGGGCTTGTGTTGGTATTGATTGCAACAATAATAATCCACTGTGTAATAATAATCCACCCCACACTCAATGGGTCAGAACCATTTATTAGTGCTCTCTATTTATGGGAAAGCCCAGTAGTCCTTTGGGCCTCGTTTAGGGTCAGTGGGTCTCACTCACGCATGTGTGGTTGCTGTTCTTGGTGGGACCCTCCTGTGCGTATCGCCTTGACTGGGGAAGCTGGGCTGACTTGGCTTTGTTCTCGGTGACCTCTCCTGGTCCAGCAAGTGAGCTCAG